ACTGTTTTTAATATAAGGCTCAGCAAAAATAGCAAATAGAAGCTGTGTGAAGGCCAAAATTATGAACCCCAATACAAATTGCATTACGCATATTAGTTGACGAACTCAAAGAAATTGAAAATATCATATTAAATTCCACAAATATGCCAATTCTGGTAACGTTTTCCTGTTCAACTCAGTCTAGATATTATCATCCAACGACGTGTTGCTATCCAAGCTTCTGCTACATTGTAAGCAAGTGTTCCCCAGGGTTAATCCTAAGAGATTTTGATAAGGACGAATCTGTACGGTATATAAATTTGGCATGTATGCAAAAACTTTTGTTTTAAATATAAAAATCAGATAACAAGATCCAGATATTTAAATATGCATCGTATTATAACTGAACAATGCAATGCGAAAAATGTGTTCGTTTAACAAGGTTTTAAATTCAGTTGGGGCAAGAATTAGAACGAACCAAAAGATAGGTTATTAACCAATAGTAAAGTGCATAAGAAAAAGCACAAACCACAAGGAAAAGGACAGCGAGGACCAATTACTATCACTTACAACATGGAACTCGATTAATTGATACAATTATTTCGTTGATCTCGACCCCTGCTTTTGAAGCCGGGGTGTCCTCAAATACACCAGTTATATATGTCTGGTTGTTTAAAGTTGTGATTTTAAATCCCCATGGGTCCGACGTACGTTTCCTGTACAGTTTATACTTGAATTTTTCAGAATCACTCATATTTCATAAAATGGGTTGACTCCTTCCGTGACCTGTGTTAATCTTTTTAATTATTTAAACAAGGACAAACTAAGAAGGCCGTTGTTTAGGTAATCGACGCATTAATCACTAAACAAGCAGCAAAATTTATTAAAACTAAAGGTAGGCACAATTCATGTTATGGGCCTTCTAATACTACAATAAAGAAGCTAATTCCCTTTTGGCGTCGAATCTCTAAATTTTTGAACTTTCACGTATTATGACATTCTGAGTTAGTAAATCGATTAGTTAAACTAATTCAAAAGTTAATTTTGATACATTTACACAAAATTGGGGTCATTATTTGACTTTGGCTGTTCTTTCCTCTGCTATTTGTCTTTGCAACAAGTTCGAGTACAATGTTTGTCTCTAAATGTCATGTAAGCTCCCATTATATTTATGCGCGACTTTTAAAAGCGTAAACTAGACAACGGAGCGCTTTAAACATGTTCCAAATTTAAAATAGATGTTTCGCTTAAAGAGAACCATGTCAATGTTATTTACTTTAATGCAATCGAAATTTCGCGAATCAACATGATCAAATTATCCTCAAAATTATATATTTCTTTTGGTGCTGGTATACTTTAAGGGCCTTATAGATAGAATAGTAAATGAACAAAAATTGTAAGGTGAGAACGATTTAAGTTAAATAGTAAATGAGCTAAATTTTGGGGAGAAATGAATGTATTGGCACTTACTTTGTAAATACTCAAAATGTGAAAGAGTTAACGTAAATTTTTTTATGATAATTGTACGAAGCAGCTTAACATGCAGTAATCGCCAACATTAAACGCTTGCAAAAGGCTATATTTTTTCTGACTAAATTTGACTCAATTATTCTAATCTAAAAAGTCGACAATAAACATCATTAATGTGATTAGCCAAATACATTTTTTTTAAATTGGAAGTAAAACAAATTGCTGCGGTCTCCGGAACCGCGTCAGTGCCGGCAATATACACAGACAAGGTCCGACTGTAAAGAAAGTAGAAAATGTAGATGGCGCGTAGCTCAGCTAATTTATTAATGGAATTGGGGAGTTTTTGCAAGGAAAAACAAGTGCGATCCTTGCCTCTGTGACGCTTGTCAGGAGGACATATTTAAGTGACTCGGATTTTATATGATATTCTAAATGTCTTGCATAATCTGTCAGAGACTTGTGGCTCCGTACGAGGATTTCCTCGTTGAACGTTATTTACTGCATGAAACCACAATTAACATTATTGCAAAATGCACTTAGGTTTTGGAGCGCAACGCGCACGAAGCGGCGAGTCATTTCGTAGTTGGCAAATAAGCCAGAGGGGTGATATGGAAATGTGATCCCTGTTAGTTACGTCAAATGAGGTGTTGACGACGTACTTGGAAATTTACTTGACTTCGTGGCATTTTATTCTGTCAGTTCCTTAACATCTTAGAAATCTTTACCGAGGGACTAATTGATGTGCTCACTCAGCGTGCACATTTGGTGCTGCTGCTCTGCTGTCGACAACCCACAAACGTCTCCAAGTTTCCTAGGATTCGCAAGGAATGCCAGGCGGAATGTCATTTAGTTACAGATTTCTACTCTTCTCCTTAATTGCGCCTTTTTTTCAGTTAAAACAACCATGGGATTGCTAAGTATAGACTAGACAGAAGACAAGTAAACAAGCCAAAACCAATGCTTGTGGCGTCAGTAGAGGATAGAAAAGGCATGTTTATCTGCCTACAGCATGACGTCTACGAACGTCCAGTGCAGTAAGCATTTGTGGTACGGACACTGTCACTTGCTATTTTGATACAAAACAATCCAGCCGCACGACTATTCGGTGCGGAGCCTACCTCACAAACATCTGGCGCCATGCGCATGCGCGAATGTTGTTCCCTTCAGCAGGCTTCTCCTTTGAGTTCTCGTTATTTTGTACCAAGTCATGTGATACGGGGGTCACGCCCTTGTTTAAAATCGTTTCATTCCAGGTATATGGAGTTTGTATTTTACAGGTATACTCGTCCAGTTGGCTGGTTACCATGGCCCGTAGACTACTTTCATAGGCCTTGGAAACTCCCACAATTTCAGTTAGCCCATCGACTCCAATCATTGCAGCATGCAGTCGCATTAATTGACCGACAGTAACAGTGCTTCAACTGTCAACTCTTTCGATCATTTCAGTCGTTCGGACGACGAGTTATCAACAGTCTCCTGGCACTTCCTCGACCAACTGGAAATCATCAATCTCATCTTGCTGCATAAGCAACCAGTGAGATACGGGTTATGAAGTAAAAGGCGCCATCGTTGATCGGCACGCAATGACGCCTAAGATCACGAATTAACTCCTATTCAGCTCAACCAGTCCTTCTCAACCAGTCCTGACTCGTCTCAGCTCGGTTTGTCTAGGTTCTTGACACGCGCGTGGCTCATCTCATTGCCAATTTATTGCGCCTCAGTTGCTAACACTGCACACTACCTCTGACCACCTGCTGGCAACAGTTCAGGAACAGAAGCTGTACTACCGTCAATTGTACCAAATCCCCTTTCTGCATCAACAATGAGTCAATCGCCACTCAAACAAGACCTAAAACGATGCATCTTCGAGAACAACACTCCACGTAATGTGCGTAAGGGGAAGCATATCGCATCATTTCACCAAGGGAACACCTCTGCTGATCCACGAAGATTCACAACCGTCAAACGCTCCACGTGTGACCGATTGAATTGCTTCCTGACCACCACCAACACCCTACTGAACGATGATCCCTTTGTCCACTGTCGATTAACTCCAGTGTGTATACTGCCACATTATCATTACATGTCAATGCGAACCCCGTCAATCCGCCTTCTCAACACACGATGTTCACACCGATGAGGTATGAAGGCACACGCACATCCACGACACACGACTCCAGTTGAGACTACACCGTCGTTCATCGCACTGTCCTCCTCTCGATTCATCATGCTATAACAGGCTAAACCACCTGTTTCATCTATCCTGATAGCACAACGCGATCCAAGTCAACACCTTGAATACTTGTATTACAGTTCCTGCACTAAATCCTCTTGCTGATATCATGACATAACGAAAGCCTAACTCGTTCTTCACCTTGAACACTAATCCTACACACAAATTATTCTAAACATACTTCCTTTCAAGGTTACATCGACTCACAACGCATTTAGGTACTTGTCAGTTATTAATGTGATTTCACAAAAACATCAGAACAGTCAAGCCCACAGGCTACTGCCATCTGTGAAACTCAGTCACGAATTGTTGCATTCAGGCAGTAGTAAAGTGACTTGAGAGAGAACACACTATAAGTCGTCGTCTGAGGTCTAATCGAATATTTAACTTTAGGAGGGGTAACAATGCAGCATATCGTAATCAGGAAGGGTAGTCAAGCAGACATGCATGCCACCCTCTCCATATCTACACGATAAGCATGCAGCAACGTATTGGCAACTGCCTTAGTTTCACCGATAATGAATAAGACATCTTTCGCCAGAGTCGGTTAGTGTGCTAAAGGGAAACAGACTTAGGAAATTAGTCAAAAACAATGCATTAAGAAGGATCATGGGCAAATAATGCACCTTCCCCCAGTTAGTTGGCCACCTGTTTCTCTATACACAAGCGCGCATGACTTGACATTTGCCATAGTGTACCTAGGAATGCTCTCACAAAATCGACAACTTCACGTAGTAACAACCAATTGAACACATATTTTTGTGAGCGTTTAGTCCCATCGATCGAATAGTCAACTGAAAGTACAGATTACAATGATATTTTGCTTGCACATTCCCGATCAACTAGAAGTAAATGCAGTTATGGTCCAAGAAGTGAATGACAATCTTGCTCCTGTCAAACCTGCTTTGAAAGCCTGATTTGAGTAACAGTAAAGCTGGAGATACTTAGATGGCATGTACCTGGTATAACAGTGAACATATCTATTTACACCGTCTGACCCCCCTATTAAACCAAGCACGTTGCCTAAATACACCCGAAACGGACAAAACGTCCAGTGTCGGCATTAACGATAGCTCACCAAAACCAACACAACCCGGTGTCACTCTCATCCCCTCCTATCCCACTTTGTCGTTGTCGTCGACAACGTCCAAACACGCCAAACATGTGACATCAAGTGTGTATTTCAGCCGAATCTATTCCTCTAACACAACGCTTTAACTTAACTGCTCACATCCTCTCAGTAACTGCTACACAAGTCAACGAATGAAATGTGAGTTTGAACCAAAACAATGCCACGCACTGAAAACTCGTCACGAGTTTAAATGTCTCCTGAATGCTTCATCCATTTTTCACGTCTTCTTCCAAAAAGCCCACGTGTTGTTCGATGCCACTGCTTCTTCACCCAGAAGCGCAATGCAGGGATGTAGTAGAAGACAGCGTAGGGGATCAACACAGGATGAATTAGCAGTAACCAAACGCCCATCTTCTGCTCAATAGCGTTCATGTCATACTGTGCCAGTCCAATCGCACTAATGAACTGGTAGGTCGAGTCGTAGGCGAATGATATGATAAAAGACACAGCTAAGGGCACCATGCACATGGACGATGTCGACCACCCTTTGATCTCCTCATATGCCTTCAGCTCTTCCTCCGGGGTGTTCGGAAAACTCAGGCTATTAAGTGTGTCCAGGAATGCCTCTTTGGGCGTAGTCCATATCCATTTGATTATGAAGTAACAAGAAATGAGAAGAATTAGT